CAAGTGAAAAGCAAATGTCTTGAGAATGAGGGCAACAAATGTACAAGTGTGCTTGACACAATGGATGTATGTATGGATTGTGATGAGTTGTATGAGCCCCCAATAAAATGATTTTTTTTAAAGAGCACAAGAGGTACTCTGCACAAGCCCTTTCTAGGGCTTGGAGTAACAAGGATGTTACTTGAAGGACTAAGGTGTACCTAACCCAAGCCATGGTATTCTCCATCACCTCATATTCATGTGGTGATGAATAAGGAATGGATGGATTTGAATTGTTTTGCTGTGGAGAATATTGAAAGTACCATAGCCTGCTAAAAGGACAAACTGATCTGTCTTGAAGAAGTAAGGCCAGAGTGCTCCTGAGAGGCAAGGATGGCAAGACTTCATCTTACATACTTTGGATATTGTCAGGAGAATTTGTTTGGGAAATCGGAGGCGAGGGGAGTGGCTGCATCAATGGGCACAGGCATAGGAACAATGGTGAGGATGGTGCAGGACCCTGCAGTATGTGGTTCTGTTGTGCATAGGGTTGCTAAGGGTTGGAACCAACTCAATGGCACCTAGTGATGACAATGAGGCAATGACATCACTTTTTTTTGTTCCCATTTGCAAATCACTTTACTAATTAGTTGGTTCCATTAATTAACACTAAGGGTATTTTACTTTTTAAAAAGCATTTTTTTAAAATCCCATTCATTTATTTTTAAGTCTAGCCAACATAAGAACATCGCTTTCTTATGGTGGTGGTGGTAGGTGCTATTGAGTCAGTTCCAATCCATGGCGTCTTGATGCACAGCAGAATGAAACTGCCTGGTCCTGTGTCGTAGGAAAGTATGGTAATAGTAGTTTCTCAGAGTGCAAAGTATTGTGGGGTGCGTGGGTCTGTACTGTAGAAAAGCAGCCACGGACCCAAGACCACAGCCCAAGGCTGGACAAACAAATGTGCATTTGAGACCCGGAATTTCCTACTTCATATCTGTCCCTTTGGAATTAGGCAGCTGAGTACACAGAAGAGGAGAACAGGGGAAGTGGAAATACACTTCATGTCTCATTTTCTTAAAAGTCCACTTCTTTCTTTTCCCATCATTTGTTGTATATTTGATCATTCTCAGGAAATCTTTAAACGAGTCCCAAAAATGAAAACTAATTGCAGTGGAGAATAAGTAGACAAAGTAATCTGAGAACTTTTCTCTGTTTCTGAGCATCCTTGAGGCCTAGCTGTAATGATCCTTGAGGCCACTCATATTATCTAATTAATGTAACAAACCAAATCCACTGCCACTGAGTTGACTCCAATTCATTAGCAAACCTATAGAGGGTTTATAAATCTTTATGGCAGCAAACAGCTTCATCTTTCTCCCTATGAGTGGCTGGTGGCTTTGAACTGCCAACCTGATGTAGCAGCCCAGCACTTATTCTGCAGCGCTAAATGTCCCAATAAGATCATTTACTGAAAGTGGGAAGCGGAAGTCATTTCGAAAACATCATTTGTGAGTAAAGGGGTTTCCCCTAATTATACTTAAAAGACATCACACCAAAAATTGATATCATAGCCACAATTTATATAAGCACAATACATATTAACATTATTTACAATGGTCACTTTTATTTATAGGCTTTATATCTCTATATGGACAAAAGATATAAGCTAATAACTTCATGAAAAAAATCTAGAAATAGATCATAAGTCATTTGAAGAAACAGTATTTCAAGATTGAACTTTTACATGCTGTAGCAACTCATATATAAAAAAGCTGCCCCCACTTCATCTCCTCTGCATTCCCACGAAAGGAGCTTTTTGAAAATTGTCAACTACCTTCAAACCAAAATTCTACTAAAATGAGTATTAACAGGGAAAACATCATGGATAAAATTTTGTTTAGAAAACTACATTGAAAAGATCACAGGCGCCAGGATGAGACTTTTCCCCTGAAAATCAAAAGCAATTGAATAGAGCAAACACAGGCACTTTGCCAGGGGCAGTGAAGGAATCTCCAACAGGAACGAGGTACAGCTTTAAGGTCATCGAGAACAGACTGGCAAGCACCATAGGAAAGTCCTTAGGAATATACCGTGGGTTATGGGAACAAAGAGGAAGGGTCTAGTCTAGAGCAGTAAGAGTAGGTCCAGTTCTCACAGAGAAGGTGGCTTTCAAGTTTGGCACTCTTGGATAAACAGGCTGGGAAGTGTGGGGGATAGAAGAAAACTGTCAACTCAGAAGGGGTGTATTCGGGCTAGCTAGAGGGCATGACACCAGAGGAAAAGAGTGAGAAACTAGTTGAGGTAAATTTTAATAGAATGCCAAGCCAGTGGGCTGCCACTGAACAGTTGTGATAGATGAAACTAGAGTGGAGCTATGCTTCAGACTTGCTGTCAGTGTTTTAAGTTCAGATGACACAAAGGTTTTCAAATGAACAGACAAGTGATTGTAATCATGGGGAAGTGCTAGCAAGGCCTGACCTTCCTTAATCCAGCTAAAACACTGAATCCACTTAAAAATGTGTTATGTGGGGCAGCTTCCCAGTAAACTTATTGCACCATTTCCATTATTTGGGAGAATATCTGCTTGGGTTTTATTTTTTAAATTTGCCATTAGCCTTGACTTCAAGTTTTTTCTTATGGCACAAAAAATAAATATCTTTTTCTGCAGGGCAGGTGAGGGCCTAGGAAGGTACCCTAACGAAACTAAGACAAGCATATTACTGAAGAGTCTATTATCTGCAACTATGCACGGATGGTAGAGATGTACTTGAACATATCTCGTTTGAACGAACCCATGCATGTATCACTGAAATACTTCTTTACTTATATAAGTGAGCTGGCCAAGATATTCATTTACCCACTTTCATTAAAGGGCCAAAGGGGTAGCACATGAGCATTGTGGGTGAGGTTGCAACAGGTGGTTCCATAGCAAAACACCAGAAACAAGTACAGCAGCAACTCTAGATCAGTATGTCCCAAGTGGATGATGCTGCCCCTTGGGGAGTGGGGGCTGCAAAAGTAAATACTTTATTCTAGATTGTGGGCTAGAGTACCATCTTACTTGCCAGGGGAGCACTAATCCACCCATCCCACCCTACCACCCCTGAAAAGGGGCGCTCAGCCAAATCCATTTGGGAACCCACCTATACCCTAGGTCTCATAGGGCCCTGGTGCCGCAGGATAAAGCCTGCGAATGGCTTTAGAAAGGCTTTCCAAAATTCTCTTGGTTGTCATTGGTATGACATTGAATTAGGAAATCCTTTATATAGGAAAATTACCCTACAATGAAATATTGAAAGGTAATTTGTTTTGGATAGTTTAAACTCAGTTTAGTATTTATAGGTACCCTTCACCCCAGCTTTCCAAAAGTTCCCTTTATGTTGCTTCATTTATACAAAAGGCATACACTAGTAACTGTTTTTGCTAACTTAAAGAAATGGGAGAGGATTTGACAGAAACTGGATTTTTCTTTGTGAAATTTTAAAAAGGCAACAGTGACACTAATATTCATGTTTGTTCTGAAGGAAGCCGTTACAGAGGCAGTAGTATCACTAGGCTTTCCCCAGGATCTACACTCCACATCTCACCTAGCCACCAGAGCTTTGAACTGTGCCTCACAATTTATTTTGTGCATCCATTAGGAATAGTCCTAAGGTATTGTAAAGGCCTATAAGAGTAGCTAAGGGTGCTATGCTTAAGCATTTTGATTTTGATGAATGAAATAAAGTATTGTGTAGTTGTCTTCCCATTTTGTGATGTAATTAAATTGTCCTCTGAGTTATAAACCTTAATCTCTGCCTTCTATTAATGAAGCAGGATTAAATTTTGTTAAAGATGATTCATTTTGTTTAACAGGATTAGGGTAGAATGTAGCATGGTTACTAAGATCACAGCCTAGACATGATATAAGGTGGGTTTCTGGGGATATGGCCCATTTCACCTTTTGTTTTACAAGAGGTAAGAAGATAAGCAAACAGAAAAGGAGAGGGACCAGACTACCACAAAGAAAGAGCTGGAAACTAATGCATCCTTTGGACCATAGGTTACCAGACTCACTTAGCCTACTGTCATACAAATCCTGTCCTCTTCTAGCCTGAAATCAGAAGGATTTGGTGGGGCCCTGATACTGGCTTAGAATTTGTGCACTACTACTACTACTAGTAACCATTCTGATCTGGGACACAGTAGACTGTTGGGCTCGAATGAGACAAGGTGTAGCACAAAATTATGATTTCTAAAATAAACCAGAATGACTGTACTTACAGAAACTAATTCCCTTTATGGGAAAAATTACTCAGCACCTCCCCTAACAATGAAAAGTTTTCATACTATAGCCCATAATCCAGGCTAAAGTGTAGGTTTCTGCTTTTACAGCCCTCCTGGATCATTCCGGTGTCCATGAGGGGGTGGTATCGTCCATTTTGGGAAACAGTGCTTTGGACCCAGGGTCCTTGTGTTAAGAACCTCATAGGCCCACAGACCCTGAAATGACACAAAGACCTTCCTCCAGATTCCACTTCTGGTATTTCTGTTATAGCAGCACTAGATAATGAAGGTATTTCTGCAAATGCTCAAAAATGTTCCCCACATAAATGAATGGTCATTGCTTCACTTTAGGTAATTTCTGCTTACAAAAGGTTTCAAAGACACACTCTTGCTTTCAGACAGTGGGAAAATCTGTATTATAATCATCAGCCATGACTAACCATAGTGTTAAACCTTTTCTTTTTGTCCTTCTGCCAACCAACAATTTTATGTACAAAGTAGTTCATATGTTAAGCTATCAGTGCATCAAAATTATGAATATAAATATAAATATTTCCTATCAGACACACTGATAGCTGGCTAAGGTAACAAAGGACTTTAAAAAATGATTATGAAGGACATGTCATAAAGTGGTATAAAAATATCTTAAAAATGAATACTATATATACAATTTCAGTTAATACTGGCTTAGAATTTGTGCTTTTGTGATACAGCTAATTCCAGTTCATTTTTTAAAAGTACAACATTATAGGAAATGTAACATTCGTTTTGGGTACAAATACAACCATTGATTTCAGCTCAGAACTCTTATTCACAAAAGGGAGCATAATAACGTTTACGGAAAGCATAATTAGTATTTTGCTTAAAAAACATGTACTGCACTTGGTGGCTTTAAAAGTCCTTATTATTGCTGTTATGTATTGTCAAGTTGGTTTCAATTGATCCTGGCACCATGTGACAGAGCAGAGGGGCATGCAGAGTGCCAGGTCTGGTTCCCATGTTGCTGCTAGGTGGGTTCAACTGGCAGTATTGTGGTTAGCAGCCAACAGACGACTGCGCCACCAGGGTTTTTGAGGTGGTTGAAGTCCCAAAAGTTCATTATTTGTATTCCTCTGCAAATGGAAACATCCTCATTCCTACCCACAGTTCAGCTGAAAATGCACTCAGTTTCTAGCACTTTGCTGTCATATTTTGATGAGAGAACATTAACTTTGTCGCAAAGAAACCCTGAACAGTAGAAATACTTAAGACAATTTACTGGAATTTCATTTCACAGTCACTGAGGTAGAAGCCGGTCATGTATTTTTTTTTTCTTCCCCATTAAAATACACGAAAGTTCACCTAAGTTTATTATACTGTTTCAAAGACATGCATTTTTCATCAGCAGTGTTATAGCATAATCATCATCATATCTGAACCAAGCACTGAATGGAAATTTGCCCATGGATAGGTATTTTTTAATCACTTGTAATGGTTCCAATGTAAGGTAGAAAATAACAGTGTGGACTGTGTCACAAATAGTTAATACATATATGACATTAAAATGTGTTGTGGTTTCCAAATAAAAGGTAGTTCAGAATTCAGTGTGAATCTCAGAAATAGTCCTGATCATTAAGTAAACATCAAAAATTTAATAAATAACATACATGGAAAACAACATTTGAAAAATTATCTTATGCCTAATAATTTCTCATATCAGACAGTTTGGCTGGATTTATCCTGGCAATATGCCACTTCATAAAAATTTTACACTACATTTCTTCCATCCTGATGAAATTTCACCCATTCAGAATCATAGAAGAGAAGAAATTGATATTGCTACAATATTGTGCCTTCCTGGAATGCTTCTATCCACCTATGGACAAAAGAAATTAGTTAGTTTTGAGAGACGACACCTGCATATTGAAGATCTTTGCTACAACAAATTAGAATTCTTTATATATAGAACTGCCCTCTCTAAAGCCAAAAAGACATCAAATGAAAGGTGAATTGAACGGTTTTGTTCAGAAAGGACCGGGAACCCACAGTGACATACATGTCATGTGAAACAATACCATGACATCTAAATAAATATCCTTGGAATTTTAAAGACCAGCCTTTACCATCTAAACTGACATCCATTTCCTGCTACTCAGTCAACAGCATGGGAGCCTCTTAATATGTTCCACCCTTTTCCCAGAGAAGTTAGCAAGCAGGTGGTTAAACTCCTGCTGTTCGATGGCACAACTGAATCACTAACTTGCCAAACTCCTGGAATGTTTCAAGGGAAGATGCTTACGCTCACTCCTCTCAGCAGAGCCACATCATGCTGCTTCCTCTGAGGTCACCTGTGGACAACCTCCTTTGGACAAGACTACCTATTTTCTTTTGCTCCTCTGCCTCCTGAAAATATTCCAGACACCCAGCCTTGCCTTTCAAACAATTCCTCCCACGAGTTTGGAAACTAGCATTGAATCTCTCTAACCTGGAACCCTAGATGCAGTGCTGTCCCCAGGCATTGACATGGGTCACTTTAAAAACAACCATTTAAAGAAAGCATGGGAAATCTTGCCACTAAAAGAAATTATTAAGTTACTTGCTTTTGGGCTGAGTGTGAGTCTTCTGCTTTGAATACATAAAATAACATGTTTTTGTGCAGCAACTGAAACACTTTAGACTCTGAATTCTCATCTTTGACGTGGGTGACAGTGAATCCTAGTAAAGGCTGACTCTCCAAAGCGGCCACATCCTAAAAGTCCAAAAACACAAGGCAGAGGTGGGTTTTTAGATTGGGACAAAAGTAGACGAGAATATTCAAGCTATGTAGCTGGAATTTAATTTCATTCACGTGAATGTTAAAACAGAACATGTGTTAACGTTTCACTGAGCCTCCCCCTCTACACTTACCCCACCCAACTACCCCTATCTATGCTAGATAGTTTGCAATCAATTAATCTTCATTGAATTTCTTATTTTTCACTATAATCCTGAAAGGCAGATAAGTATTATATGACCTGCATTTTGTAGCTAGAGAAAACATATCTCTGAAAGGTAAATGAATTATCCTACGTGGTACCAAGACAAAGCTTGGGCTTTAGAGTCATGGTTGTTATGGGATGCTGAAACACATGGGAGATGGAACAGGAAAAATGGGTAGAAGGGCGTGTCAACAGAGGGCTTGACAAAGATCAAAACCTTGAATTTTATTGCACTACTAAGCTGCCACATGACACTTAAAACACTTGTGCTTTAATACTATGTAATATTAGCACATTTGAGTAAGAATTCTCCAAGCACAAAGCAAGAACACTGCCCATAATAAAACAGCACCACTTCCACCCTCCAGGAACAAAGTAAAATAAAACACGCAAAACAAAAGCATTTTAAAATTTGCTTTCTGATTCTTTAAATGATTTCTAGTTTGAATTACAAAACAAGACCCTAAAAACTTTAGATTTCAGACTTTACCTCACTTGCAGCGTAAGTATACAGCACTTTATTTTTTATGACAAACCACAAGTGTTTCCAAGGCTTTTTATTGCCCTTTGATCTGTACAAGTAGCCACTCATTGATGAATCCTCAGTGTTTGCTGATACCTACATAAGTAAGTGTCAGAAAAACAAAAAATTAAATCATTTGCAATCATTTTTCTCAAAATATTAACCATACATTACTATAAGGTTTCAGAATGAAAGTTTTTGCAACACAGGGAACTGTATAAAATGAAGCTGCTACAATTATGTGATGACAAACCCTTCCAGGAACAATGCTGGACTTTAACCTTGTGTAACGGTTTACATGCATATGCTTGTGTCTGTTTCTTTGAGGGTCCATGTCTCTCTGGATTGGCAGAAACAAAAAATGAACTAATCTCAAAGGTCCAAGTTTTTCTTTGTCTATTTTGTATATATTGCATGCATTTTGGACTGTATAGATTGTCCATTGTTCTACTTACTGAGGGAGTGTTAGGGGAAAGGAAATCATTAAAACTTTCCATTTACCCCTGAGATAATCTTTCAGACTGAGAATAATCATATCAATAGAGTAATTCATTGAACATCCGATTAATACAAATGATTTGAAGAATGTCTTTGACGCCTACATTTTGATCCAAAACGAGAGGCCTAAGTGCATGTCTGCAATCAGAAAGGGCGGCAGTTTGAAGCTCCCAGGCCCTCTGTGGAAGCAAGATGTGACAGTCTACTTCTGCCACATTTACTGCCTCGGAAAACCTATAGCTGGGCGCACCCTGTCCTACAGGATCACTGTGAGTTGGAACAGACAGCAATGGATTTTGCTTCACAAAGGTTAAGTTAAAAAAAATTAATCACTTTGCAAAAAGACCAAATGCTTCTAATGTAATCTGGTAATAAAAAAAAAGTTTAATGTAAGGATCAGTTGTAGCTACAAAACAACAAATTGGGAATGCCTTAGTAATGCGGTAGACAGACTTAAGGTGTCTCCCCACCCCACCCTCCATCTGACCTCTTAGTCACACTTTTGTATAGTCCCCTCTTTTTTCAATTGTGATCAAGACCTGTGACTTCCTTCTGACCAACAATATGGGACAGCCACTGCCATGATTGTGTTATCACCATCAAGAAAGCTCTGATTCATGGCGGCCCACATTCTGTTTTCTAAGACCCTTTCTTGCTAGTTGAATAGCTCTAGAGACTCCCCTTTGCTGCGACTGAAGTAAACAGCCATGTTGAGGTGTCACCAGACTCCAGAAAACTGAAGATGACCTCCAGCAAGGGCCAGTGAGTAGACAGCCCCTGACTCCTGCAACTGCAAGAAAAGGAGTCCTACCAACGACATAAGTGGGCCGGGAAGTAGGCCATTCCTCAGTTAAGTCTCCTGAGAACCCAACGCTGAAGGACACCCTGACTGTAGCCCTGCAGAGAACCAGCTATGCCATGCATGGACGCCTGGTCCACAGGACCTGTGTGACACTAAATGTGGCTATTTTACCATAAACCACTGTATTTTAAAAAAATTTCATAAAAAGGATCACATTGAATGGAAGCTTTAAAATCTGCCATTAAATTAGAAAAACATTTAAACAGATTTACATAAAGATATCATCCTGTATAAGACTATCAAGTGATTTTTAACAAAATATCTAAAATTTCTACTCTTCAAATGAGATTTTACTTAAAATAGACGTCTTCATGAGAACTAATAATGCAGAATTCCTAAAAGCCCACAACGGCCAGGACCAGCCTCTGCCCTTGAGCCAGCTACTGCTGGCCACTCGCCCAGTAACCCTCTCCTGCTCAAAGTCAGCCCTGCCCTCACCTGTAACCACTTAGGTGAGGGCATGGAAGAGGTGTAAGGTAGGGGGCTGCAAAGGTGCTGGTTAGTTGATATGGGGTCCTACACGCCCTATGCATCCAAGGGCCCCATCTCAGGGCTCCTTCAGATTATGGCCCAGCTAGGAGCTAGGGTCAGACCCCAGGGTTCCAATTCTTGCTCATCCCTGTGGGCAGCCCACCTTCAGGACACCAACTGCCTTAGTCCCTTATATAAGGTCACCCAGGACATCGAGCAGAGTCCTGTTCCCTACTCCAGTCTCCAACCTGCTCCACCTGGCATCTGTGACTGAAGACCACACCACCTCTCCCTTCCTGGGCAGTGAAATATACAATCTGAGCGTCCGTCGTGTCCTTGGGGTCTGCTATCAGGGAATGCAGCACTCCTTACAGCCAGGTGTGTTGTTAATGGGCAAAAATGGTTATAGACAATGGACTCTTTACTACTGTTGTAGATATGAAAATTCGGCTAATGAAAGCTGGTAAGAGGACTTCTGCAGTTGGGAAGGAGCTGGGCCCTCACATAGACTGGCATGTTTCCTCTCCAAGAACCTTAGGAAACAGACACTCTTATTTATTAAGCCCCATTTACTGATGAGGAATCAGAGTGGCTGAATGACTGATTAATGGTTACAGAAGCTTTTCCTTCACTTCCTGCCTCTCTTAGTGACATCACACAAACTGTTCCCTCTGTTTGATCATCCTCTCCCCACCGTGTACTCCTCCGATTTACCCTCAAGAATTCTCTTTCCTTGGGAAAAAACATCCCCTTACCCCTCAAGACTCAGTGGAGTCCCTGTTCTTTGTCCTCACTGTATCATCACCATTTATTATTTTTTAAGAACCCATTTGTGTGCTAATTCTTTATCCCCAGACATGTTCATTTTAAGTACCCATTTGTATGCTAATTCTATATCCCCAGACATGTTAATTTGGCTCACAGTGGAGTTTGTCCAGACTCAATGGCCGTGGGTTTTTGCATTTTTTCATTTGGCAGGTCACAAATTAGTAAGATGAGGAGTTAGTATAGGTGGATATGTTGTTAGGTAGCAAGAAGTAGGGATGTCTAAGGGGCATGCTGTACACCTGGGTCGGCCCAGAGTAGGCCAAGTGGGGTTTAATTCAGCCATTGGGGCCAACCACATCTCCCAGCCTAAGGCCCTACATACTAGAACTTTGAGACCACCAGCCCTTTGGCTGCTTCTCCGCCTTCCGCTCAGCCGTGCCATGGTCTCTCTGGCCTCAGGCCACCACGTGGGTGTACAGTCCCATGAGGTGCCCATGTTTAGTGACTATAAAACCTGAAACTTTTTCCTTCCTTCATAAAAACCCACGTGGATCCCAAACCAGGCTTCAGCGTGAATTCTTTTTGTGTGAAGCCAAGAACAGAGGTATTTCCCACCGGAGAAATCTAACAGATACCCATGACACCCGTGGATTACACACTTCTTACATTTTTTTTGTTACCTTTTAAAGGAAAGACAACAACCTCTCAGTGATTTCATCACCTAACAAACAGTACCTATTAGTAAATACAACCAAATGCCCATGGTCCTCTGTAAATTGCTTCCCTCAGCTAAGGGGCTTCCTTCAGACACATTTCTGAAAATTCACGCACACACATTTTGGCTTTACTTTCTATTTTGTGATAAAATGTTCTTCAAACTTTTGGTCTGCCATCTCTTAAGGGACTTGGGTCACAAAGGAGACCAAGCAAGAGGTTGAGGGCCCATTCACATCCCTTACCAGTATTAAAATTCATGTCTTGATAATGGCGGGGAATGACAGCTTCCTTTATATGAGCATGAATAATACAGCTTCTGTCAACTCTAAAGCTTAAATAGAAACACTTACTTCTTTGAGAGCCGCTGGGATTTTTTTCTGTTTCCTCCCTGATGGAATACTATGTAAGACTGATGATAAGGCACTCGAAGGAGATTTGTGATTTCCCGGAGATCCAACCTTTGGGGTATGCTGGTGATCTAAAACCAATCAAATACACTTATGTGGCCAATGGCAAACATTCTATAATTCCATTTCATGCAGATTAATACACTCTGCTGTAACACTCCAGGAATTCATACCTCTGGCGGCCTCCAGAAAAAGGTGTAGCATGGAAAGGGTGGGAGAAAGACATCCCAGTCTATTGTTTTATGTTTTCTTCCTTTAGCTCTTAGAGACCTGCCTGTTGTTTGGCCAAAAATTGAGCTATGACGGTGACTAAGGGCCACAGTCTGGGAGTTTCCACCAGTCTCTATCTGATCATTAAGCTTGGTTCCATTTATGACTTTTTAGGTTTTGTTCACATTTATTTTTCTCCCACTCTTTCTAGCACCTTCTAATGTGATCCATTTTCTGGCCTTGGTGCTATGCTTTTCAAACATGAAACCTAGTGAAAAGATTATTCTTTTATGCCACAGAATTCTGAAACCTAAGAATACCTCTTAAAAACAAAACAAAAAACCCAAACTCACTGCCATCAAGTCAATTCTGACTCATAGCGACCCCATAGGACAGGATAGAACTGTTTTTGTGGGTTTCTGAGACTGTACCTCTTCACAGGAGCAGAAAGTCTCCTCCTTTCTCCCTCAGCAGAGCGGCTGGTGGTTTTGAACTGCTGACTGACTGAAGCCCAACATGTAACCACTAGGCCACCAGGGCTCCTTAAGAATATCCTACCACCTCAAAAAAGTATGTATGTTAAATAGAAATCTCCCATCATGATTTCTTTTTTAAAAACCCAACAGCATTACTTTCTATCTGGATAATTGGTCGAATAATCAAATACTAATTCTGACTGCAGTTTGCCTTAGTTGGCCGTGAAAGCATGAAAGTAAGAGTTTGCCTAGCAGAAGAGAGGACGAACACTTGAGGAAGAGAGATCAGCATAAGCAAAGGCAGTTGTGAAATTGTTTCATCTACTTAGAGAATAATAACACTACAATAACAGCTGGACCTAAACAACCTTGTCTAGGTAGCGGAAAGACTTAAATTTTAGGCGGAGGAATGACTTGAATATATTGAAGATTTAGGAAAGTAAATCTGGCAGCAGTCAAGAGGGATTTACAGCAGAAAACCTGTGAGGAAACACCAATTCCCCAGGGGACAATAATGCAAGCCTTCAGCCAGCTTGAGATGGGGCCGTCAAGACGAAGACCGATTTTCAGACACATTGTAAAGACTTACAGATCAAACCAGGTGGGAGAAGAGGGAGGGGGACTGAACGATTAATTGTGTTTTGTTGGCAACTTATACTATGAGCAGAGAGCAAAGGGAAGAAGAAAAGGCTGGCAAAGGAACCGATGGGTGTGTCTTCTAGGGAAACATATACAGACAAAAGCAATCCTTCAAGCTATAAATGTGTGGGTTTGAAAGCATATTGTCTAGGTTTCTACCTTCAGATGTTGCCCCTAGTTGTTGATAAGCTACTTTTCTAAGAAGTGGAAAAGGATCACTTAAAAATTTAAATCTTCTAGCTTGCAGGAATTTAACAAGAGACCCTTTCCTAAAATAAAGACTTGTGTAGTCCCGCTAGCTGCATTCTCTATAGACAGACTATAAGCAACGAGTATGCAGACAGGACGTGTCATTTTGTATTTGGTCTGAGATGTACTGGAATGAGGCTAACAAGCTGCCACCTAGCCCATTTCCATAGAGAACTGCTTTATGGGCCACTCCTTTTCAAGTGTCTGAGGCATTTCAGCCTGTAATCACATTTCTACAATTAATTCTCTTAACAAAACCTTATGTCAAGAGAATAAAAATAAACTGTAGTCCAATCTCTCTTTGAATTACACTGAAATCTGAGTTAAGAAAACTCAGTACTCAGTTTGAGGCCAACATCACCAATCACACTGCCAATGTGCCTAGGATGATACGTGGAAAAGGTTCTTTGGAAGCATAAAGGAATTTTCAGTTAAATCTTTTGCTTATTTATTACCTAATTTCTGCAGTTCTTGGAAGCAGTGTTCGCATACTCTTGCTGGTTGATTTTTCAGGTAATCCAGACCATACTTATTTGACGAACAGGCTTGACATACAATCTGAAAGCACATTGGAATGATTTCAGTTAGATTCTTTGTGTCCCAGGCATAAGTGATATGATCGATTATGCTGCCGACTTCTCACAATGTTTTCACAGATACTCAGTCTCGGTCTCCCTAACTCCGTGGAGGTTGGGCTTGGAGCGACAAACCAGACAAGACTCCATTGGAAAGATGAGGAGATGGCAGATCATTATGGGGAACTTACTGGATTCAACTGCATACAACATAAGCTGCTGAACATAAACCGTTGAGAGCTACATGAGACAGGCATTATGTCCCATGTTAGCTGAACTCAGCAGGAGGAGCAACTTGGTCATCACCTGCTGCTGCTCTGCCAAGTGTCTTGCTCTGTATTATTAGCTGCTCCCTGCAGACCTCATCTGCGCCCCAACTACATACGTGGTCATCCGCCTAAAGAGACGCAGTTAACATACAGTGAAACCTGGGAGAACTGGAGCTCAATCGGACTTCTTTGTCTTCTGGGTCTTGCAAGTTTCCCACGTTTGCTGGTACACCCTTAACATGTTTCTGGCACTCGTTTCCAGAACGAGAAATATCTGCGTTTTCCTTCTAACGTTTCTGCCTTATCCAGTTTCTACTGTGTGTAGCTGTGTAAAAAGGTAGCAGTCTATTTAACTGTAGGTTTGTTAGTATTGTCTTATGTGAATAGTCTATTACCGACAAGCTGAAGTAATGTTGGGTGGGAGAGGATAAGTTCCCTAAAAAGATCCTCCTCCCAACCTAAATATCTAGAGAAAATACCAGCCATGATTCCATCAGTATCCTTCTTTCCTTCATTCCCCTCCTTCTCCTCTCTCTCTCATAGCAACAGATCCCTGGGAGATAGGGGTGGGTGGCTTTGCTGGTTCCTTATGTGCAGCTTGTCATATTAAAAAAAATAATGGAAGGGTTATTAGCATCTCCAACCTTTCCGCAGGCCCGGCAATGGTGTCGTCTCCAGGTCAGAGTGAATTCACTTGTGCAGATCATGCACATGGTGACCCTGGTATCAGGAATCCAAATGGGAGCCTTTGATCCCAGGGGACTGACTTCCTCTTTATTTTCCGAGTCGGCCTGTGGAAGAAGGAAGACTGGATTAGCTGCCTGGTGCACACTCCCCAGCCTCTTTATCAGACAGTGGCACCTCCAGGTGCTGATGACAGCATTAGAGAAGTGGGATAAAGTCCATGCTAGCACTTCTTTTTCTTTTTTCTTTGAGTTCTCGGGAAATTAAGATTAGCTATATTCTAAAAAGAACCCTCTAATGCAAAATTCATTTCAATAGATGCCTGTGGTAATGGATGACAGCTAATCAAGGTTTCTGTAGTTTTTTTTTTTTTTTTAATAACTCAGGGAAAACATCAATATGCTATCATATGCTTGTAGTTAGAAGTAGTGGCAAGATAAATACTTGACTCTGAAGTTACACAAGCACCTCCAATTCTGTGAATATTTGTTGTTTTTATTTTATTTTTTCA